CTGGCCTCCGACTGACTGATGTTGGAGCGGTGGAACAGGGTCACAGGCTGTGTTATAGACCATGCTGACTCTCACATCTCTTTATTGGCTCAAAATGATAAACATTTTAGATGTAATTGTGGCACTTGAGCTTAACTGATTCATGTTAATGTGCCGTTGAACCCTCTACCATGTACAGTGCATGTGTAAAAGCGCTCTTAATGAAACTTGTTAAGCTGGATCATCATGTATCAGTTATTATATAGTAATAATGACACAACATATCCATCTAGCTGTGCTTTCTTTACTTACACTGAACAGTTACATTACAGACACAAAGTGGGTTCATAATAAATAATTTATTTTACTTTTATCCTGAAACTAAGATCATTGGGCTGTTAATGTAGTAAAAAGTCCCACATAGACACTGAGAAGCAAAAAGGAAAATAGTAGCCGCACAGTTGAATTCAGACTGGAACAGACTTGCTTAAAATATCTTTCTTTCTCTCTTTTTTCTTTGCTTGCTTGCTTTTTTCCCCCCCCCCCCCCCTTCTTTCTTTCTTTCTTTCTTTCTTTCTTTTTTGTTAGTTGGTTTTTGTTTGTTTTTCTTTCTTTCTTTAAATCATAAAGTAAGATAAATAAAATGCAATATACTTTAATTTTGGCACAACATGACATATAATTCCCATAATGCAACACAGTTTTGTACCGTGTGATGAAGTTACGGTATTTTACTGGCAATTATATAGTAAGTAAATACAGCAAGGGTTAACAGCACAGTCACAGCTGTCTGTGTGTGTGCACTTGTGTGTATATGTGTGTGTGTGCATGTGTGTATGTATTAGTGGCTTAAGAATGGGTCATGTGTGCCTCTTATTTTCATTTACCAGACTCACCTCTTCTGAATTTGGCCCATAGCCTGTGATCCCTAGCAAACATCTGTTCCGTGTCCTCTGTATTCTACACAACGACTGTTTTAGATCAGATGCTCTTTAGTCATTCATGATGTTTTAATTGAATGCTCACCCTCAGTAGGCTGGTTTGATATTGATTTTTTTTTTTTCCTTGATGATGATTTAATCACATAGAGATGAGCTGTAAAGCTGATCAGCTGTACGACTAAGTGTCATGCTTGAGCTGCAGCAGGTTTAGGCTACGTATAATTGAAGAACGCATGAAGGATTTTAATCAGGAATAAAAGCTTCTACGAAGCATTTTACGTCACATTTATGAATCCTTTTATTCACTCATTAAATTACTCTTTTAACAGACCATAAACCGTAAATTGCTATATAAAACACAACTCAATAGCTAAAATGAATTTAAATGGCTTTTAGGCTATTGCCTCTTGAGTCAAATAAGCCTAGGTACAACACAATCAACCAAACATAAACCAAAAATGCAATTTTTGACAGTAAAATCGGTGTATTCCCTGTGTTAGGTGTTTTTTGCACACAGGTTTTGCCATGATGAGATAGTGCTTCCTGTGTGTTTTCCACCAGATAGATGGAATTTTTTGTTCTCTCCATTGACTACAGCCACATTCCTCCTGTAATTATTTAGATGCAGCAAACAAGATCATGATATTTTTGCAGAGCTATAATTTTACGTTAATTAAAAAAACCCTGTTTTTTAACAGTTGAAAACATGGTAATTTAGTTCTTTTTTGTTTTTTTGGTGTTTTTTTCCACCAGGAAACCAAACATTGACATGTCCGGCAGACATATAGGCTCACAGCGTGACGGTATCGAACCAATGCAAGATCATCTGCCGACAATTAGGCTCAGTCGATATAATGATTTAGCCATGAGTTTAGTCATCATGGTCATGGTGAGAAGCCTTATATGTTCTTAACTGTGTTCTGCTCAAGGATATTGATGTTCCGCATTCTGTAAAAATCATTCAGAAAAGAAAGAACAGACACAAATGTGCTGTTTGAACAGGATAAGATTTCCGTCCAATGCCTGTTAAGTAATGTTGCCGGAGGATGTCTGTAATGATTATGTACTATAAGCATGCAATAAGCAACCTGTGTATAAATTAGAGATATGAGTGGTGAGATGGGAGTTTTCATGTACACATGTTTGTCATGCTAAACATTCCATGCATACTACATACGCCTCATTTTAATACAAACTGATCCTTTTGAACTTTATTATAACCACTTGATGTAGGCCACTTGTACAGTATATACCTGCTCATTTATGCAGTTATCCAGTCAGCCAATTATGTGGCAGAAGCACAATGAATAAAATCAAGCAGGCACAGGTCAAGAGCTTAAGTTAATGTTCACATTAAATATCAGAATGGGGAAAAAGTGTGATCTCTGTGACTTTTACCATGGCATGGTTATTGGTGCCAGATGGGCTGGATTGAGTATTTCAGAAACTGCTGATCTCCTGGGATCAGTCTCTAGAGTTTACACAGAATAGTGCAAAAAAAACAAAAAACATTGAGTGAGCAACAGTTCTGTGGGTGGAAACATCTTGTTGATAAGAGAGATCAGAGGAGAATGAACAGACTGGTCTGAGTTGACAGGAAGAATATAGTAAGTCTCTTTACAACCAAAAGCATCTCAGAAAGCACAACACATCAAACTTTCAGTTGGATGAGCTGCAACAGAAGAAGGCCACATGAGGTTCCATTCCTGTCAGCTAAGAACAAGAATCTGAGGCTATCATGGGCACAGACTCACCCAAACTGGAGGTTGAAGACTGAAAAAAGACCAGGTGACCAGGTGAGTCCAGTTTGGGTGAGCCTGTGCCCATGATAGCCTCAGATTCTTGTTATTGGCTGACAGGAATGGAACCTGATGTGGTCTCCTTCTGTCTCATTCACCTGAACGTTTGATGCGTTGTGCTTTCTAAGATGCTTTTCTGCTCACCACAGTTATAAAGAGCGATTATTTGAGTTACTATATCCTTCTTGGCAGATTGAATCAATCTGGTCATTTTCCTCTGACCTCTCTTATCAACAAGGCGTTTCCACCCACAGAACTGTTGCTCACTCAGTGTTTTTAACTTTTGCACTGTTCTGTTTAAATTCTAGAGACAGTTGTATGTGAAAATCCCAGAAGATTTGAGAAGTACTCAAACCAGCCCATCTGGTACCAATAATCATGCCATGATCAAAGTCACAGAGATCACACTATTTTTCATTCAGCTGTTTGATGTGAACATTAACTGAAGCTCTTGACCTGTGTCTGCATGATATATATATGTGTGTGAAGCATGGTTTCTCTGACAAGTTTTTTTTTTTTTTTTTTTTTTTTTTTAAATGTCTACATTTTATTGTTCTGGGTTTTTTAAACTCAGTCAAATCTTGGTTTCATTTGAGAGACTTTAAAAAAAGACTGCTTCACTGAGTCCTTATATTGAAGAGGGAAAACTGGGAACAGTGGCAAAACTCTTTTCCCACAGGACTTAATGGAATCTATATCACCTCAAGTTATTTCTACTGATCATTTTACAGAAGATAAAATACGCCATAATCTTTCCAGACGTGTGCACGCACAGTCCTCAAAAAATTACTGACATAACAAATTCAAATGGGACTAAAATCCCAGAAATAATTACATTACCCCACCACCCCATGTAAAACTAATCCAGTCCGAGTAGACCTGAATATACACCCAAAGAGTGATGCATGAAAATTGACACAGAACAGGAGCTCTGAAAATGTTAATTATGGAAGAATTGAATATGGGACAAAAAATCTGTTTATCACGTTTTGAAATGTTTAGATAGTTTCACCAATAGTGTCTTAACTTTCATTTGTTTTAAAATGTTATTTGTGGTAATGAAGGAAAGTTCTTTGTCGGTGTCATCATTTCAAAGTACGGGTGTGCAAACTTTTGCAAACCCCTATATGTAGTTTGGCAGGAGTTTATTTTTCTTTAAACTCCTCCACAGTGGAAACAACAGGACTTGATCAGAAATAATTTAAACTCTGACAGAACCTGAACTGATTGCTTCTTGGATGACATGTCTCGGGTGCTCCTGTCTGACCCCTGATATGAACGCTAACCGTAGAGCGATACAAGTTTTGGCAGGGGAATATCTGCCTCACCAGGCAACAGAATATTTGATTAATTCTGTGCATTAGCTCAGCTAGGGGGCTGCATTGACGTCTGCTGATAAGTGAGAGCACGCACAGCATCATTAAGATTTAGTGTGAATGAGAGGTGGCATGTAAAAGAGTCAATGTAATGATCCAACTCATCAGCGGAAAGTGAAGTCGTGGCACGCTAAAGGCCATAGCCCTTCTGTCTAGACCTGATTAGACCTTCATAACTTAAAGAATTACTATAGGGACACAGGACAGTGTGGGTGGATGTGTGATTTGAAGTCGTACCTGCTTTGGGTTTAAATCAGAGGTCACAGGATTTGAATTAGAGCTCAAGATCAGGGCTTTTAAAAATATCATTAATTGCCTGATCACGTTGGTAAGAGCTAGGTGGTGTAGATGATAGTGATGTGTTGATTAGTTCAGTGTTCCTCAGTGGACCATGGCAAAGGACACATCTGAAGGTTAGAGGGGCTCATCATGCAATTTAGTTGACGTGTAGCCACACAGTTCTGTCAGTCTTTGTTACACACACAAAGCGTAGGTACATGCTAAAGAAATATTCTCCAGTTAACATACAGTTTGCCTATATAGTGCACAATAATGGTTTTAGCTTATATTTCCATTTACAGCATTTAGCAGAATCCTTTATCCAGAGCCACATGCTTCGTAGTCTCCAAAAACACTTATCTTCATGCTAGTACAAAGTTGCTTTAAAGCCCTGCTAGAACTTGCTTTACCAGATAGTGTAATGACAGCTATGGCACATTGTACTAGTATAGTATTATGCACAGTACATGTTGAGTAGATAAATATACAGACTGATTCTACAGTATAATAGATACATAAAATATATGCGTGTACATTTTGTCCAAAGTAACTTTGAATTGAGACAGGATATAACTTGAGCAACATAGGGATTAAGAGCCTGGCTCCAGAGCCCAACAGTGGCAGTTTGGTGATGCTGGGATTTGAACTCATGACTTTCTGATCAGTAGCCTGATAATTTAGCCACTGAGCTACCACTGGTTCATCCTACAGAAAAGTGTGGGAAAAAAATGAGGAACCTGATACCTCTGTCTTTTGTTCCTCTGCTTCACACCCACTCTGCAGCCCTGCTATTTGTGGTATTTCCCACTTCTGCTAGTAAATAAGGACTACCAGCTGATCCTTTGTGTATACGGCACCACAAGTGGTCACTGGAGACACATTCGAGACGCATGAAAATACTAGATGTGAATGGCTATTTGTCTCGGCTGTCCATTCATGATTACATCACCCAATGCCAGGTGTGAATGGGGCCAGAGATCCTATAACATACAACTACCTCATGCAGCACCACACACAGTTTGTGTACAATTATCACTCTTAGGCTCTTTTGGGTTTTTATGCTTGAGTGGCCTGGGAATTATTGGCACCTAGAGCAGATTTTCTCCCTGCTGAATGTTACCTTAGGGCTGCAGTGGAAATGTATTAAGGTTGCTCTGTAGAGAGTTGGCTTTGATGGAGGAGGCCTGTGCATTGGTATGCTGGCACTGCAATTTTACTGATGCTGATTGTAGCAAAACTATTTTTTCCTTTCATCCTTTAAAGCATTCAAACGAGTATGAATCAGCTTAATACAGGATTGACTGCACCTGGTCCAACCTCGATTTTTTGGGGTTCTTTCTAGAGAGCTCTTTTGAATGCACCTTGTGCTCCAGAGGTGACTCAATACAATGTCTATGATATTTTAGTCTTTCAACCTCAGCAGAAAGTCAGCAATCCTGGATGAGCTTTCTAAGACCAGATCCAAGACCTCCACTCTCTACCCAAATCTCAGTTTCCTAACACGAATGCCTAATCATCCCCAATGAGCAGTGAGTCAACTGGCAAAGCAGAGGGATTGATTGTGTGGTTCATAGCATGGATCATTTCCCTTTCTGCTCACTTTTGCCAAACTCTGCTTCCTGCCCCATAATAGTAAAATCAATGCCAGTGTAACCTTCCAGACTCCATGAAACTCTTTTTGGCCACTAGACAATGCAAGGAGATTAGATGTAAACAATGCATACTACACCAAAATACCAGTTATCTTAAAATAGCATGTTTTGGCTGGTGTGAATGTTATACTTATTTTTTTTTTTGATCCTCTCATCCTTTTCATGTTAAGTTATAGCTCTCTGCATTAGTCAGAATCTGTCTAGTAGAATAACTGATGCTGGGTGGATTCATGCAAGCTTGTTTATATGCAGCTGTGAAATTCTCCTAGGTGATGAATTATCACTGAAAGCAGTCGCTATGTACAGATCAGACTTAATCTGATTTATTTCAGCCACTCAGGCTCAGGGTGTGTAGTCGTAGATCACATTAATCTTAAAATGAATGATTGTTTCATTCATTCTTTTTTTTTTTTTCTGAATTCCAGATTGAATAAGATTTGGAGGGACATTACTCTGAAGTACGTCAGCTGGGGGGGATGCAGATAAAGTGGTCAATTAATATCATGGACAATTTTTATAGTGGTTGGCAGTAACTGTGTTTTAGCTGGCAGTCATAACAATCTGTTTGGAGTGTTATAGTTGTGTTTTTTTCTTTTTGCACTACAGTTGGTGCGCTTCCTCTCAGTTTCTCAGTAAAATAGATCAAATGAATGTTTGGAAGTAGGATGCTGGGATTTGTCACTGGGTCTAATTTATAGAGTCTGCGTAAACGCACAAATAAGCAGCCAGATCAGGTCGAACCTGGGAGGCAATGGGAGAGCCCTGTTCTGTAAATCGTTCCTAGCTTTGTGGTTGTTAGCTTTTCCACAGCTGGAGGCCATATTGCTAGTTGCCGTTTCTGTTCTCTAAAACCAGTCCCAGACTGTAATTCACCCAAGCTTTTCCATATACACTGCCTTACTTGGAGAAAAAAAAAAAACTGGATGAAAGCCCTGCATGTAGCTGTCAGTGGTGCTGACAAATGTGTGTGCGGATGAGTCGGCCATGTTGTGGTTTGAGACATAACAAACTCTATGTCAGGCCTCCCAGACCACAGATTGGCCTTTCCAAGTGGGAGTATGGCAGCTTTTCTCAGAATTCTAATGTTGCTGCAGACAAAAATAGACTAGGCAACATTTCGATTGTGAGCCTATTAGGAACTAGTTTCAGTCTGTATGATTTTAATGCTGAATATAGTGCTCCAAGAAATGTGTTGGGCACTGAAATGTGGGGCTTTGATGGATTGGACACATGTCCACCCAGGTCTGTGGAAGCTCTTTCTCTTATCCTATGTTGTTATGATATGATAATGCATTTATGATTACTCTCAGATTTACTAATGTTCAAATATAGTGCATATGTATACACGAACGTTTCTGTCTATGGCAGTTTTTTTTTTTTTTTAAAAAAAGCCTACTACCTAGATATTTCAGATATGTATCATTTTAATATTTTAGAAATTCCATCTTTTACCAACCATTTACTTGCCCTGCTATTATTCCGTCAGTTTTTGCAGAGTAAACTGCCCTAGATGAAGTGTTTAAAGCCACATGTACTGGAGTCTCTCGGGACATCTGTAAACGTTATTATTTTTCTTATTATTTTGCGATATTCTTACTCATGCACCATGGTTATTATCTGCACCTGTCCATTGGAAAGCCAGACTGTAGACTTGGACAGAAAACAGGCTTTGAAGCAGTGCTCAGACCAAATGTGAACAAAATTTGCTCGCTGGGAAAGTCAGTTCACTGAAGGGGAAAGGACGCAGGACATGAAGGGCACACATTTGCTTCTGGTAGTAGTTAATTTTTCTCTTCACACTGATTTGATCTAGATGAATTTAGACCTGGGAATTTGCAAACATCAGGTGTGTGAGCTGGTAAAAAATAAGAAGACGGGGCTGTGAAGGAGCTGCTAATTGTTAAGTAGCCGACTTTTGCCTTGGCAACATGTCTAAAATACAACTGCCAAAACCAGCATTTTGTTTAGGCATGCAACTCGATGGTCTCACATGATAATTCTACCCACTACCAAAAATAGACTCTCTGGATCTGAGTGGGAGAAACTGAAAAACAACCATGCGGCGGTCACAGTTACTGACATCACATTTTTCCCCATTCTGATGTTTGATTTGAACATTAACTGAAGCTCTTGACCTGTATTTGCATGATTTTATGCATTGTGCTGCTGCCACTTGATTGGATGATTGGATAATTGCATGAATGTGAAGAGGTACAAGTGTTCCTATTAAAGTGTCTAGTGAGTGTATATTGAGTATTGTGTGTATATTCAGTATTTCCTGTTTGGTCAGACATTGCTTGATTTGTCTATGTTCCCGTGATATTAGTAATAAGTGTTTTTACTATACCGATGCTCAGATATACAAATATCAACAAATCATAAAATAATATGGACATGGACTGGGCTGCAGACTAGATATGCATTTATATTAATTTTATAACAGTTGTATAATCTGCTTATACACTCATCTACTTCCAAATCCTAACGTTTTTGGAGATTGCAGTTAAATATCAGTTCAACCAATATGTTTTATCATTTAAGCTGTTGGAGCCATCATGTCCATTGCCATGCAGTAAAAATGTGTTTTTTTTTTTTTTGTTTGTTTTTTTTTTCTTTCTTTGCCTGCAAGGATTTTCTTGTTAGCAATGTTGGAACCTCTTCCACTGTCATGGATTACATGATATTTTTAATAGAGAATGCAAGGAGCTGTGAAATGAGCTTGCAGAACAGGGCGTGTATGGCTATTCCTTTGAGACCTCCCTGCTCCAGAAGTGTCAAAAACTGAACAATTCCCAATTGAGCAAGTGTCCATTGACCCACTAGTAAGGTTTTGTCGATGCATCAGGCAAGCATCTAGTAAATTACTGCCTCCATTTCAGTGGCACATCTTTTACACGGAGTTAAGAGTTTATTAAATACACCTGAACTGACAGCCGAGTGTATATGGGATGAAAAATAAACAATATAAATGTTGCCAGTGAGTTAGGTACTTGATAGTTATATCTAATCTGGCAAGCCACAGTGTCGCATAGCAGGTTTATACTCAGCATGTCTGTTCCTGTGTTGTCCGTGCATCTGTCTACGAGGCACGCTTTAGGGAAATTCCCTCAGAGAGTTGAAGTGGCTGGCGGCTGATTGAATCTGCTTTATGCTCTTCTTTCTTCCCCACCAGCACATCACTCCAGACAGCTACATCCCCTGCCTGACTGACCTGTGCAAAGCATTGTGGGAGGTGATGCTCAGTTACTACCGAACCATGCAGTGGCATGAGGAGCATGACAAAGAGGAGGTGAAGGATGCTGACACAGGTAAATTATTCATAACTTGTTATGCCATCCTGTTGCACTATTAAAGTCCTTCAAGCTCTATTTACTCTCCAAAATGCATGGAGTTTGCTGAAAGTTATATTTGTACCAAATTCTATTCATCATAATATGACTGCTCGGTTACTTATACAGACAAATATGGTATTGACTGAAAGCTTGAAATTCACAAGTTTGACAAAATGTTTCAATGAGATCAAGAGACAATTAAAAAAAAAAAAGGAAAATTAATCTAAATGGGTTTTTGCAGTTTCATTTGGATTTTCTGTTCTGGATTTTGTACATTTTTTGTAGCCTAATGCCATTTAAGAAAGTTTTGATTAAACAGTCCCGACATTCCTTTTTGTGCGTTTGAACGTTGGTGAACTTCAAATAAAAGACAAACTGGCCCGCTTTGTGTTGTTTACAGAAAGTGTAAGTGATGCATTTTGATTATAAAATGAACATGTACACATGATTTTCAGTATTTAATACCTTCTAGACTAAACGAAAGCAGTTCTTGGTTCACCACTGGTTGACATAAAGAGTCTGATTTGTGAATGTTCATATCTGATTTATTGCTTATCTTTGCTGTTGGGTCGAGATTGTTGAATCTGAGAAACTTTTCAACTAAACTGAGTTTAATTTATGAAAAGGTTATTTTTCCTGTCCTGTCCAAGTAGTAGGTGCCAGCAGTATAATACGATGTTGCGAATTCTAGCATTGAGTATATTTTAGTGAAG